GGACCAGTGATGACCGTCTCCTTCCCATCCATTGCTGCCAGAGCTTCTGCAACTTTTGCTGCTGCCAACACCCAAACTATCCCCCGAGTCATTAAAACAGGACAAGCCATCAGGCAAACTGGTACGAACTGATGGGATCCTCTGTTATCTGGAACTTTGACGTTAATGAGACCAAGTCGACCTGATTGTTGCGTTGAACAGGAAGCGAGCGCTGCTCGTCGGGATCATGGCAGCAGTTGTAGCGCTTTGGTGGCGCAGGATCGTCCTTTGCGGCCCGAGAAACGGTAGTAGACGAGAAGAGAGGAGAAGTTTCACAGCGTGGCGTCGGAAGCTAACCATGGAATGGAAAGGAAGACGGCGCGACGGAGGGAAGGAGGACGACTACGTTAACTGGTCGGCTGTTCGGTCTTGCCGGAACGGCCAAGATCGGATATTGGCCGGCAACTGCTGTTAACGTTGAGGAAACCGGACCGGTCGACCAGGTGAACCGGGGATTAGACCGGCCAATTTGAGGAATGGCACGGGCGAAAGAGACGGAATGGCCGACTTGCGTCATGCTGGAGAACTGCTTGAGAAAATGTCTCAAAGAAGGGTTGACTGCCATACATACACGATTTGGTCGCCCTGAATGCAACGTGTGGATGAGTGGCTGTTGCATAACTTTTGAGAGAAAAACTGAAGCTTTTTTTGCTTAGGATGAATAAAGTTAGCAGCATTAATCCAGCAAACTTAGGCAAGGAACTGAGCTACCTCCTTGCTCGTGTCATTTGAAGCTTGGTAGGCACAGGAATGGCAGTAAACCTCGGTGTTGGCAACCCATAAATGAGAGTTTGGTGAACACCCAAAGAGGTATCTACAGGCTGCAAGTGTCGAGGAATGCAAGAAGAAGAAGAAGAAGAAGCACATGCAGGAAGATGTGATACCCAAAAGAAGACGTCTATTCCAAACCGGTCGATGATTCTGTCCAGGAACCTTCACAGGAAGTTGCCAAGACACATCTTTGACTCATCTGCAGTGCACAAGACAACAACATGATGATGACCTACACACAAACCCATATGCTCTCGCTCATGAAACGTTACCTCCAAATTTATGGGCAACGACATCAGTTGGTGCACACGAAAGCTAATCTAGTAGCCAGCCATTAATGGAGCATCCGTACATATTTGTGCACCAGTTTGATACCTCCAAGAAATGATGCAGGATTTAGAATATGCAATGCACGTAATACAGACTTGTACAGGATAATTCTTCTCACAAGAAAGCATTTTTTGAGCATGACGATGAGCATCATGTTACAGGGAACCGTGTGAAATCTACTATGTGTGACGTAGATGCTCATGCTTTGTCGCTGCATTTGCCTGCCGGTGGGAGGTTTAAATGCATATGCCGAACAGTATGGCCATATATTGTTGCAGTTATTGCATTCTGGTTTGCACCTGTGGAGAAAGGAGACGTCAGATCAACATGATGCATGCTTGTCGTATTGAAAGCAGCAGAAGATGACGTGCACCCAAGAACAAACCACTTGTCTTGCATGTATAATGAATTTTAGTTGGAGGATTCATGCCCTAGTTTGTAGGGAAGGCTCTAAGCAATTTTGATTTCATGAGTTATAAGCCAACCCATTCTTAATGACCACTTTTTCCCTGAATGACCAGCGATTATGCACGTATACTCTCAGAAGGAAGAAGAAAAAGAAAACAGCTCTATAGCAGGATTAATAGTTCTACATTCAGTTAATGAACATGTTAGATCAAAGTCCATTAGTCTGTAAGATTAAAGGAGAAGAAAGAGAGACAGTGACCTCGTACCATTTGTATTCAATTTGACGTGCTGAAGGTTGGGGGGGTTGTGAAGTTTAATGGTGAGAGGAACAAGGAGAAGAAGCTGGTTAGGGCATTAAGATGCAGATGGCCTGCCCATTACGTGTCATTCTCGTACAGTCACAGACATCTGGCTATGGATATACAGTGATGATGTCTGGATCATATCATTGCAATGGATCTTTTGATTCTTCAAACCAATGGATCTTTAAGCTTCCTAAGTTTTTTCATATATTTTTTTTCGTAAAGAGAAAGCGATGAAGATGGACTTTGATCTTACTATTTTGAATACAATGTATTAATTAAATAGCTTTAAAATTTTGGAACCCTCTATAAGTTATTTGGTGGGACAATTCTCTTTTGATAGTGTAGACAAATCTCGTGGGATTTTTTTTTTTGTTTCCTGTAAATTTAAAACAATCTTTTTAGAACTGTTTTCCTTTTTCTATTTTGCTTGATATTTGTGTCTTAAAATTAAATAGTATGGTTGCTAAAAGCTAAATGTAATCACTAAAAAATATCTTTAGGCAAAAAACTTTATTGAGTAGGGACAAAAATAAATGAATGCTTTTGCTCTTTTGGGGTCCTAAAGGTGTGATCTTTCACTAAACACAGGGTAGCGTCGTGTCTCAAGATGAACCTAACAAAGCAGGTTTACCCTCTTGATTACAATGACATTTGACCTAAAAGAATGGCATACATTTTATTTTTTGTTTATTGATTATGAACCATAAATGTTCTCGTCCTCGCAGGTCAATCAATGTGTTATAAATAGGGAATTGGGTCTAAAGAAAGTCCAATCATGCATGCATACCTTATCAATTGCAACTGTTCTTAGCGCAATCACCTTCCTCAACCAAAAAAGGAAGTCAAATTAACGCCACAGATTTTGAATGTGACTCCTTTTGAGTTCATATATCTGGGAGTGCCTTGAGAACCTCATTCAACTAAGTTTGATTTATCGCATTAACATTGGATTGTTTCAGTTCACCGGTGCGTTTCCAAACATATTTGAAATATGAAATTTTGCTTGACAAATTTTGTTCATATCATGTTTGTCCTGAATGCTAAATCTAAAATACTTAATCTAAAATCATATGATCGTCTTTGTATAAGTTGTGTTAAAGTTGGACAATGGAGTTTAAATGAATGTACAATTCTTGAATGCTTTGAGTGTTTAGTAAACAATAGATAAAAATTATATTTTAAATACACATTAATATAAGTATTATTTGATAAAATTATATTTCAAAAGTCCATTAAATATTTTATGATAGATTTACCCTTTTGATAATTTTAATATTTATTCAAAAGTGTATAGATATTTTTATTTAAATTAATGAGCAAATAAAATAAAATAAATAAATAAATGTACATATGTATGTAATGTTATAAAAAAATTTATATAGCCCAAATATATAATTAATAAATAAATAGCATCATATACATAAATATAATTTTTTTTAAAAAAAATAAATAAATAAAATCTCGCTTTATAGAAAATATAAATCATATTGATTTCTCACTAAATCATTTTGACTATCTTGTAATTTTAGATAAGATCATAAAGTGCTTTTAAATTTTAAAAACTTATATTAGCATCCAACAAATACTGAGATATTAATGCTACAAGTAACATTTGAGCATTTTTAATATAATATCTAAGTCAGATGTAATTTAAAAATAATTTATCAAATATTAATTCACGTATGAAATATTCATTGGACCCTTAATGCACAAGTGAAATGTGTTCTCAAACACACCCATAATAAAAACTCTAACTTTAATTTTTCTATAAATTAAAAGTTTATTTATTTTAATTATAAATGTATATTTATTTTAAAATTTTATTTTTATGAAATATTTTAATTTTTTATAAATTTTATCTAGGCTATATAAATTTTTTGTAAAATTATAGAGTTAAGGTCCATTTTAGCCCTTATGAAATAACATTTACATTTTCAAGTACATAGCATATAAGCTCCTTTCATCAAGTCTGAGTTAACGGACTTAACGATGAGCATCGTACGCACATAGCCTCTCCCGCATTGATGACGAGCTCATGAGCTTTCAGATATTACTCACCTGCTCCAAAACGCATGCCACCACATCACTCACCACAATGTTGCCAGCCACCGCGAACAACACTCGCTTCGATCTTCACTAGTACCACCATAACTTATAAAGATGGAGAGCAAGCAGAAGGAACCATTAAGCTAGTACATATAGCCCTCCCACACTTGCTCGTTCTCCCTGAATAGCTTGTTGAGGAACAAGAAGCAACGGAAGCCAAAACGACGAAGGCTATAACGACAAACAAAGACGAAGAGACAAAGGTGGAAGAGGTTGGAGATAAAAATGAGAGAGAACTGGACCACCACGTCATAGGCGTAACGAATGAGGACGTAGAAGAGGACAAAGTGGGAGGCACCACCTCTAAACTTTCATGATAAAAAACTATATATATATATATATATATATATATATATATATATATATATATATATATATATATATATATATAGTTTTGAATACATATGTATTCAAAACTAAATTATATATAAATATTAATTTGGTAGCAGATGCACAACTCTGCAAAGAAAAATAAGGAACACATGAGCCTAATTGCGATTTAAGTCCCTGTTTCTTTCCAACTACCAAGTAATTGCTACCCACGCTGCTAGTATGGCAGATATGGAGGATGAAAGTTTGGGGGCAGCAACAGCATTTAATTCACCACCAGTATCCACCAAACCAGATTTAAATGGATGAATCTACACAGGCAGCAAACCTCGAAAGGACAGATAACAATAAAAACAGTGATCATGTCTGCCACGTACCTGTGTTATCTGAATATTCTTCAGCATCACTGGATAACTCTCAGATCTCTTGAGGTAGAGGAAGATGGGAGCGTTGAGGAGATGCAATCTGCTTTACTTCCCTGACCACACCAGCAGCAAATCCAGTGGTCCTTTTGCCATGCATTTCCCAGCTCCAACCTGCCCAAAAACAAGATTTTGACATCCACATATCAGCCATGGAGATTACATTGTTTGGAGTTGGGAGATGGTGACATGCATTAAAGCTCACCGTTGTGTTAATGGTGTGTCATGGGGCATCTTTAATGGGGGATCAGAGGCATTACTCAGTCAAACTACACATACAAATCCTTCCCAACTACTAAATCTTCCCTCCTCCTTTTAGCTGGTACCCTCCCCTTGATCCCTCCTCACTTTCCATAAGAGCAAGACCACAGCACGTGTAGCAACGACAAGCAGCTTCTTCTTGTTAGTATCACAGCATGAGAGGAGAGGAGAGGAGGAGCTCGGCGGGGCAGGTGATGGAGGATATGGAGGCCAACATGCCGTCGGGAAATGGAATAGTGGTGGGGGGGCTGAGTCCGCTCAGCGAGACGCTGTGGAGAGACAAGACCTGCACAGAGTTCATGGGGGACGTGTCGGCGAGGCTCACCTGGAAGGACCTGACGGTGACGGTGACGCTCGGCAAGGGAGAGACGCACAAGGTCTTGGAGGGCTTAACTGGGTACGCCGAGCCTGGCACGCTCACTGCACTCATGGGACCCTCCGGGTCCGGCAAGTCGACGCTCCTCGACGCGCTCGCGGGCCGCCTCGCCACCAACGCCTTCCTCTCGGGAGCAATCCTTATCAATGGCCGTAAGACGAAGCTTTCCTTTGGAGCTGCGGTGAGCCTATGGAACTTCGTTCATGTCTTGTAGTAATAAGATTCAAGCAGTCTCTCTGTCTCCTCTTTCTTCTGCTACAAATCCTGTGATTGCTTCGTCCGCCTCAGGCGTATGTGACACAAGATGATAACTTGATCGGCACGCTGACGGTGAGGGAGACGATATGGTACTCGGCACGACTCCGGCTGCCGGACAAGATGCCGAGGGAGGAGAAGCGAGCGCTGGTGGAGAGCACGATCATGGAGATGGGCCTCCAGGACTGTGCAGACACGGTGATCGGAAACTGGCACCTGCGAGGAGTAAGTGGTGGCGAGAAGAGGAGAGTCAGCATTGCTCTTGAGATCCTGATGCGACCCAGATTGCTCTTCCTCGACGAGCCTACCAGTGGCCTTGATAGGTAGGGGCTTCAACAACACTTTGTCCGCTTCAATGGTAGTAGGATCACAGATCTCATGTGTACCCATTCTGCAGTGCTTCGGCCTTCTTTGTGACGCAAACGCTACGAGGCCTGTCGAGGGACGGTCGGACTGTTATCGCCTCCATCCATCAGCCAAGCAGCGAGGTCTTCGAGCTATTCGACTCTCTGTATTTGCTATCAGGGGGCAGAACTGTTTACTTCGGGCAAGCTTCTGAGGCATGCCAGGTAAGCTGACAGGGAACTCTTCTCTATCATCTTGTTTTACCATCAATACCTGCTTCAACTTTCTGCATGCTTGTAGTTCTTTGCACAAGCTGGGTTCCCTTGTCCATCTCTGAGAAACCCATCAGATCATTTCCTGAGGTGCGTAAACTCAGATTTTGACAAGGTGAAAGCTACCCTGAAGGGATCAGTCAAATTGCGTGTAAGTGTTCCTCCTCTGCTGCTCCAACTGTTGGATTCACTGTCGTATATAGTAAGCTAAGCAAACTTCTCATACGGTGCTCAGTTTGAGAGAAGTGATGATCCCTTGGAGAGAACTACTACTGCCGAAGCAATGAGAAGGCTGATTGAGTTCTACAGTCGTTCCCAATACTCTTACGCAGCCAGGCAGAAAGTGGATGAGATCTCTCGAATTGTATGTCTCATACCTGGAAATTTCTTCTAGATTGACAATATTCCCGTTCCAACTTCTTCTACCTTGTGATATGTTGCAGAAAGGCACAGTCTTGGATTCAGGGGGCAGCCAGGCAAGCTTCTTGATGCAGGCTTTGACTCTGACGAGGCGCTCATTTGTCAACATGTCGAGAGACTTTGGTTATTACTGGTTGAGGCTCCTGATTTATATTGTGGTCACCATCTGCATCGGAACTATATACCTGAATGTCGGGACTGGATACAGTGCGATTCTGGTATTCTTCCCACCTTCTTGCTCATGGCAGATAACTTTGCCATCTGACTGGAACAGCTCCCTTGTCTGCTCCTGCGTGACCTACATCAAGAGAGTTAACAGTTAGCTGGAAGGATAGATAAATAGCTTAAGCTAATTTCCTGATTTTTCTCTCCTTAATTTTTTTTCTTGGACAGGCAAGGGGAGCATGCGCTTCTTTCGTCTTTGGCTTCGTCACATTCATGTCTATTGGAGGATTCCCATCATTTGTGGAAGATATGAAGGTTCATTTGATCTCCCTCTTTTTTGGTTATACCAAAATCAAATCTTCATCTCAGGCTGTGATTCTACAACTTGCTGTATGTCATGCAGGTTTTCCAAAGAGAGCGGCTCAACGGACATTATGGCGTGTTAGCATTTGTTATCAGCAACACACTGTCTGCAATGCCTTTTCTGATCATGATATCCTTTGCCTCTGGAACCATATGCTATTTTATGGTGAAACTTCATCCAGGTTTCATGCATTACCTGTTCTTTGTGTTGTGCCTCTACGCCAGTGTGACTGTGGTTGAGAGCTTGATGATGGCCATAGCCAGTGTCGTCCCCAATTTTCTCATGGGAATCATAATAGGAGCTGGGATTCAGGTAAGCAACACCAACACATCTAAACCTTTTCTGATGATGATGCTTCATTTATAATCTCCGAAGAACTCCATGACTGTAGGAAGCAATTGGATAACCGCTGCAAGTTATTTTCACAAAGCCAAAAGACAAAAGCCTCATTGTTTGTTATCTAGAAAAGTTGCAGTAGGATTATAAACACTATGGTGGTTCTATTTACATGCATAAGCGAGTTAATTCAATCTTCAAGTCTATACAGATACTGTAGAATTGCATTAATAGTTAGATGAGCAGCATTCTGACAGTTCAAACATAGATAGATATGCTATTGAAATAAGATGATGCTGATAAGAATAGTGATATCTTTTCCTAAAATTATCTATGTAGAATCCTTATGTATCATGTAATTTCATCATAATCGGAATCAAATTTAACAAATTCACATGTGCTAAAAACTGGAAACCTGTTTAACTTACATATCCCTGCATATTGAAGTGCCATTTGGGCTTACAGTAGGAAGATTTTGACATGAGGCAATGAGATAAGAACCATACCTCACAGTTGCTCCGTGGAACAGGGAATTTTTATGCTAGTGTCTGGCTATTTCAGACTCCCTAATGATATTCCAAAACCATTTTGGCGCTACCCAATGACATATATCAGCTTCGATTACTGGTCACTGCAGGTAAAGAAAAAGGTTAATCAATGATATCCAAACCTACTTGAAGGGGCTTGAGCTGATTATGTTACTCGATTGTGTGCAACAGGGCCAGTATCAAAATGACTTGAAAGGTCTTCTATTTGACAATCAGACACCAGACCTTCCAAAGATCCCTGGAGAATATGTGCTCGAGAATGTCTTCCAGATCGACGTTAGTCGCTCAAAATGGTGGGATCTATCTGTCCTCTACAGCATGGTCATAATCTACCGGATCATCTTCTTCATTATGATCAAAATCAATGAGGATGTGACCCCATGGATTAGAGGATACATTGCTAGAAGAAGGATGCAGCAGAAGACAAGTTTTGAGTGGCAACATTCTTCAGCAGACCTCACTAACAGGACACCTTCCCTCAGAGGCTATGTGGTTGAAGCAGATTCTGGTTCCAGCAGCAACAATTAGGCCATCACAAAGCTTCACTGTGGAGTATGTAGAATACTTAAAAGTGATCATATATCATGATCTCTTCAACCAACAATGGTGTGGAATCATGTTACCTACATGTTCATGGCAATACATGAAGTTATATTTTTCATCAAATATATAATAAGCAATCAAAAACTGTACTAATAATTATATAATCATAAGAACTGAATTGGGATTTTACTCAAACTTTAAGTTTCTGTTGGGAAACTCTAGTAGCTTCTCATAAAAAGATGGTCACACTGCTGAAAGGCAAGATCCAGGGATTAGTAAGAACACATGAAGGTGTTACTGGCAGCAGGTGATGCTCTCATCTCTTCTTAAGATGTCATAAAGGCTTCTTCTCCTTTGATGATATAGCTGTAGCTGGTTGTTTTTCTAGATATCAAGCTTTTCTTTCGTTATTCACTTGGAACGAATTGATCTCATGATAGTGCCAGCTTGAAATTTTTATGGCCATAGGATGAGTAAGGTTTTAGGATTAGTAGCTATTAAGAATATGCAAGCTTAGAGGAAAAAAAGAAGATTAAAATTAGTATATTTCTCTGTTTTAGATGACAAAATTAGTAGCTTTCTTAAGATATATAATAAACAAAACTATTTAGATTGAACTATCAGAAATATTTTCAGATGGAAATATATACACATCTTGATCGAATCCTCAAATGCGGCTGAAACAGAGGGAAGAGACAAAAAGAAACTTACTTGGAAGACATCCTTTACGTCTCTCCTTTGCCTTCTCTCGGTTCTTTCCATGACATCTCTAAGAGCCCAAACTCATCCTCCTTCAAATGCGCCAAGAATTTGATCGGGCGAGGGTGGCCATCGGCAGTGATCTCCTTACCCTTCCGAGCCCCGAAGTACTGCTTAATCACCACCCCTTAGAGCCCGAACAGATCGAACTCGGGGAACATGGCGACATGGTAAAGCCTGAGGGGCACTGCAAGCCGAACTCCCTCCCCAACCATGGCCGCCGCGTCGGTAGGAACTCGCCGCTGTCCTCCTATGCGATCACAGACTTAGGCAGCTCGCACATTAATGGGTTCAATCCTGAGGCGGCTCGCCCTTGTCATGTTTGGGTCAGCCACTTTGGTGGGCCGAACACTCCCAGATTTGGATTGGGTGTAAGATCATCTCGTGTTTGAGTGTAAGATCATCTGTTACGTAACATGGCTCTTCAAGTTCTCCAGTGCTGATGGATTGATGATTTGTGAAGCTGTTCTTATGTTCTTAGCTTCAACACATGTCTCTATCAATCTTCTCCTCGTAATGATTGAGATGAAATCTAAAAGACATAACGGCTGTTGAAGAGAGGTGGCTTTCATTGTTCTTACATAATTCACGGATAAACTTGTGAGGAAAGCCTGTAAAGTCCCTCATGAATCCCTCTCAGCAGTACAGGATTGTGTTCACTAGTTCAATGTTAGACATATATATCGTACTCGAATGATCATGTAAGAAAGAGAATATTCATATAATAGTCCACATTATCAAAAATAAAAAAACTCAAACAACATATATTGAGTTTGACTCTAATTTAATAAATGTAAGTTTTTTTTATTTAATTGGTATCAATGCGACTCGCACTCATCGTCATCTCGCAAACAGTGAAAGAGAAAAATATGTTGAGTCATAATTTGATAAATTCTTAAAAATGAGGAATAGAGATAATTGAGCCACATGAATGTTTTTCTTAAATATTCAGCATGGTCTTCAAGAACAAAGACTATAAAGTCCCTCATGAAGCCTATCAGCAGTAATATGGTTTTGTTCTCTTGTTCAATTTTAGCTTGCATGATGACATCTAAATCCTATTCAAGTAATTAAGCCTGTGCTTGCTGTTCTTTCCAAAACATTCAACATGGTCTTCAGGATCATCCATAATCTTTCTGTTTGATCTGCTTCCCTATTTCTGTTCTGCATTCATGATCTTAAGCTCCAAATAGGTAGCTAGGAAGCCATGCATCTCAAACCCATCTCCCTTCACAACCTGAAGCTAGTTTCAGTAGATTGAATGCTTTCTTCATCAGAACTTACTGGCCTCTTGAACTTGTTCTTGACATTCTTCTTTTCCTTTTATCTCATTTTCTATGACTCCTTTTTCATCCATCATCGATATCTTATCTGATGCTGTAGTAGCAGTAGGCAATAGCATGGTCAAGCCACATGGTTCAGTAGCAAGCAGTACAGGCAGCAGTGGAGGAACAACAAGAACTAACCCTTGGTACTTCCTCTGACACTTCCACTCCACTGGCTGGATTGGACATTCATCTGCAGCTTCTTTTCAAGTTCCACCTCTGTTTCTTCATCACAGATGAACAGCTTTCCTACATGAAAAGATTTTAGAAAGCACACAATGCCATCCAAAGAGGGAACTTCTTGGGTGGACAGATTGAGGTTCGGGCCCAAACCACCACCAGCAGGTCACTGCTGCCTCTCACCAACCTATCATTAGCAACTTTTTGGAAGGCCACCAGTGGCAAGAACAACAACCTTAACACACCTGTCCTACAAGCCATAGGCCTAGGCCATGGATCATTCTGATTCCTCCTCACCTATGTCACATCACCATTTTTTTTTCCTCTCCTTTTGTAGGCATTGATCAATCATTTATGTCCAATCAATGGGCCCAGCGTCAGCTCACTCTGCCTTTGGTTTGTCTCAGGACCTTGAGTTCTTTGTGCTCTTGCTAACAACACCCATCTCATGATCATTTGTGTACAGAGTCACCACTGTTGACTACAGTTCTGTGATTGAAATGATTGGAGTTCAGAAGTGAAGCCATGCATTGTGTGGATTTTGGACAGATTTGAAATGTAGTGGGGAAGATGATGAGGTAAAAGAAATGAATCCAGTCGCTCTACCTAATTCTAATGATAACAAGACAACTGAGGAGAAAAGAGAAGATGAACTCTGGATTAGGCAAATGGATCGTAAGAGGTAGCAGATGGTAAGAGTAGTAGTAATATCTGAAAACAGAGAAGTTAATTGTTGTGAGATGAAGTCTCTTTGTAATATAGATTTCCAAGCTTCATAAGGTAGCTCTTCTTTGCTCTCTGATTAGTTCCCAAGAAGAGATGAAAACAGTAGCTGAAAAAGGTGGCAAAAGCCTAATTATTACACACACACATATGCCTCCAAAATAAGTGAACACTATCCTTTTTACAAAACTTTTTTTATTGATCAAAACAAATGAATTTTCTGATCTAAAAGCTAAATGAATAAACTGCATAATTATGTATGCAAAGAGAAAGAATTAAAAGAAAAGAGTGTGGAAAATAAGGAAGAAAGAGTTGGAAGTGGTGATGAGGAAGCATCATAGTAGTCGCGCTAAGGGCGCTTCATGTGTCGGCCAACGGACCATCGAAGCTCTCAAGCGTTGAAATCAGCCACTGTGGTTGCCGAGTCACCTCAATCAGTACTGCCAGGAAGACGCTGGCAGTCACTCCAAAGGATGATTATGGCCGACAGCGACCTCACTGTGGGCAAAGCTTGCGAGCGATCGGAGTGGGAACAGTTGCGGTTAGTGAAAACCACGGAGGCAAACAGTTGAAAGTACTCTCTCTTTGGATCGCAGCGCCTCAGCCTCGGCCCCCTCTTTTGTTTGCATCAGGATGGAACTTGGGATCATGATCATGCTCAACATGTAGTGTTCATGCAGCATAAAGCTTGGAAAAGATCTGTGACCAATCCCATGTCCCACGCTACTGATATCCACAGCAGATTTCTGTTCTGCTTTGATGCAACCATTACAAGAAGTCAACATCTACCATTAAGAGATCAAAATGTTGAGTATAACAGTGTAAACTGTATAACAATGAACAGGAAGCTGCTGAAGAACTGAATTCCATAGGACCATGTTCCTGAGACCAGCAAAGTAGTAAGATCAAATAAGTGTATTCAAAGAAAAGGAACTTGTCAGGTGTCTTTATATCGCTTGGCTTCAAGTTGCAGGGGCCAAACGAGAAAGCTAAGCTGGTCAATCTTCTCCCTGGTGATGCTGGGTTGTGGATTAACCTGGGCCTTTTTTCTGTTGGTTAATGAAGTGTCTTTTATTGTTCTGTGATGGTTCTTTTGATTGTTTTTTGGTTTATGGGCACTACCTTCTACTGGTGATCATGTAACTCAAACTTTTCTCCTTGTCTGTGTCTTTATCATATAGATAGGTTCAAGTTGGAGCTGTTCACCTTTTACTGCAATGGTGGATTTCTTTAGGCCCCCTTTGAGCACATTGAACCAGCTATCCATGCTGATTGCTATGTCATTTTCTTCTGTTCCATCCAAGTTGGTTGAAGGTGGATAAGATGGTATGGAGAGAGAGAGAGATGAGCACCAACTTCAATAAGCTTCATCTCACAAGGTACATGCTGAATTCATCTACTTCAAAGAATATCTGTGTCACATCAAGTCAGAAATAGCTCATAATGTATATATAATTTCATTAAGATGTACTGCTAGTACAATTTCAAAACAGTCTACCTTCATTGCAGGACTGTTTAGTTCATAATTTTAACACATCAGATGGATTGATAACTAGATGCACCAATTTGTTTGCACTAAGTGTTCCTCGTTACTTGGAGTTTTCTCCTTGCTAAGTACTTAAAACAAGGTTGGCATTATGCTTCAGCCTGTTCGATAACTATCAGAAATCATTTCATATATTTGATTCTAAAAGGATGTTTGATCTGCACTCCATCTTTTGTACAATTAGATACATGTTGTTACCTAGATACTATTGACCATGAAGTAAACGTGACTTGGCTTGATTTCAAAGGCGCAAGGTCATCTAGGGGGCTCATCAGGGGTCATGAGAGAAGATCAGAGCGGAAAGCGAATCTGATTGGCACGATCTCGAGACACTGCTTGTTTATCGAAGATGGATTTAGTGTTATCCCGAGGTGCACCTTAGCCTCGTCGAGGTCCACGCATAAGTGGTCAATGTCAGGGGATATTTTCGACTTGACCCATTCGATGGTAAAGTCAGTTAATAGGTGGTAGTAATAGAGATGCTTACCGCTTTAAGCTTCGGGATTAGCTTTTATACCTGAGCGATCAATGAGTATGGCTGGGCTGTTGGTTCAGGAGCCCCTCGTGTCATCTAAGGGCACATTTTATAT